TAATTAAACAAGTATCAAACTCAATGCAATTGATATACAAAGATTTTGTAAATCGACCAATTTTGAATAATATATCTTATAAATAGAAATGGACAAAACATGTCATAATTGTTTTCTTCATAATGATTTTTTAATTGTTTTCTTCCCAAGTATCATATCTTGAAAGTTGTACATTAGTGGAAAGATTGCAATAGTTGAATAAATTTTATGTTTTTTTATCTTTTAGTTTTACATATATTAGGATATATGTTCTTTATGTTTTACTGCTTATTTTACGGACACTGTGTATATCGACACACAGAACCGAACAAATTACATAAGAAATAAGTATTTCAAATAACATTTTAGTTTTTTGTATCCTGCAATATTATTTGGAAATAACTGAGAAATATCTATTCATTTGAAACAACAAGTATTTCAAATAAGATTTGAGAGAACTGTGAGATCGTTTACATATTTATTCGACTACCTAAAAATTTATTAGTTATTTGGAACTAGAAAGTTAAGAATTTGTTAAAGAAACATATAGTACTTGTATTTTGGTTTTAATCATAAAGTGTACTAGGAAAGTTTGTATGGAAAGAAACGTTCCATATATTTATGATTTATAAAAACTATTACTATACTTGAAATTATAAATAAATATGCAGAACAGTGGATATGACAAACATCAAGGAAATATATTAGTTTTATTGATTTTTGTTTTCCTTTGGATTATTATCATTCCACCATTCTAATTACACACAGATTTGAAATTTCATGTCTTGAAGATCTACTAATTGTGTTTCAAAAATGAAAGAACAGTGAAATAAATTAATGTTACTTTGATAGTGACCAAATCCCGTAGGTTAGTAGTCTCAAATCATTCCTAAACATGTCTTGGAATATATTGATACACGACTGTCAATTTTAATCATGAATTTAAGATTAGAAACTTATTTGATTGTAACTAGAATTTATTTAGTAATTAAGTTGAAACTCACGATGGAGAAGTTTAAAAGAATACGTTTATATCAACGATATTCTAAAAATAAAAGCAATTTCTAATAGATCCTGCCATTCGTTATATATATATTTTAAACTTTCAAAGATGCTAACTAACCTAAAGGTGTCCTCAAGGTATCTCCAACTTAGCCTATCAAGCTTATATAGGGTGTTATTTTAAAAAAAATAAGATGAAAATGAAGTTTAGGTTGAAAAAGGTTTCATTAAAAATTTATGATAAGACTATTCGCTTACGAGTAATTCTCCATTTTACAAACTCGACACCATTCAAAAATTGAAGTAAACATTATACGGATTTCGTGGTAGTGTGTAATTTCCCTAATTGCATCATTGACAAAAGGATATATTTATCCTCTTTCACTATTCTGAGCTATCTACTGCAAATCTTCAAATAATAAACGTAACTCGAATAAAGTTTAGAGTAACATAATTATCGTGTAAATAACGACTTGTTTATTTTCAAAATTCCCTTATAATATTTAAACGAAACTGTTTCGAATCTATGTTCACATAACATAGTTATATTTTTGTTGTAATTCTTTAAATTAGTATTGACCTCGTTTCAATGGGCTTGAAATATGTTGGGAGGATATGTTCCTGGCTATTTTGGTATAAAAACAGTTGTGTCTTTTAGTTTTCAAAATATAATTACTAAAATATTGGAACATCAAGTTGTCTGTTATTAAGGACCTTTCAATAATAAGAACAAATAGGCAATTACAATTAATTTAAATTTAAAAATGATTATTGATCCCCACTATCGTATAAACAAACCCTAATCAACTCATACAACAAGAAGCAAAAAGTAATGGTTTTAAGAATTAAATAATATATTAGATCTTAAAAAATAAGATTGTACGACAGTTATTACATTACAATACACTAGATATAATCAAATCAACTCATAGTACAATAAGTAAAAAGTAGAGTTTTAAGTTATTTTGGTTTTGTTTTCAGGCCAATAAAAACTAGATGAAATATTATATCTTGAAAACTACGATTGAACGACAGTTATTATTTACACTAGAATACTCAAATATATACCCACTACTAATATATATAATTACCATTATTTCTATTCATAAAACACCCTATCACAATTTAATTGTACAACTTGGAGACAAAGGCAGATTTTTAGGAATAATTTCAAGCAAAAAAGTAACAAAATTTTAGTAAAAAATACTTTTAAATCTAGCATGTCAACTCCTCAGGTACGACGCAAATATCGATCTCAAAAGTGATGTGAAGAAACTTGTCATTTAAATTTTTGTGATTTTCGAAGGAGTCACGTTACGGGAAAGATGTTGAAAAACGGATAGATAAAATTTAATTTCTAAACATAAAAATACACAGTAACCAAGGTTTGTGGATTGGTACGTCATACTCGAAGGGTTAAGTTTTTATGATCCTTCTCCCCTAACTCTTTCTGCCTCTATTTGGAGGCACTGCGATGCCTTGGAAATTCGCCGGTATATATGAAAATAAGGAACACAATGAAAGATCTAGCCCCTTCAAATGTCAGCCAATATCCAAGGCATTACTCCTTGCGTCACACAATATCAAACCATCTCTCAGTCCCATCTCTAAAGACGCGATACGCGTGGTGTCCAAAGATATTTCGGATCTTTCGTTCCGAGGCGCGGGGGCACGCGGAGCAACGGCAAACCGGGGATATTAGGGGACGACAGACAGAAAGTAGAACAATGTAAATTCGAGAAAAGTAGCCTCGCAGCCGCGCGTGCGACAATGAACAAATGACGCGACACGAGCCGCATGGCTTGCCAGAGAAACACCGGTTAGCTCGGTTTTGGGTAGCGAACACCGGCGCTTGTTTGGCAAGAGGCTCCGCTCGAGAAGCCTTTCTGTGAGGACATGCGCGTTCAACTTGGCCGTGCCAGCCGGATCCTCAATCAATTGCGTGATCGGAAGCTCGAACGGACGAGTACTATCGAACGAGTCGACGTCGCTTTCTGCGATCGAGTTCCTCGTTTTGCGTGTCGAGAGAGAGAAATAGAGAGAAAGAGATTCCGGCGTACGCGCTTCGAAGCCTGAAGCCCTCTTCTTGCGCCTGCGAACCTGTTTGACGCGCGATTGGCGTGGCACGTTCGAAGCTGAAGGCCCACGTTGTGCTTTGTTTTAAATTTCGATCTGCCTCGCGTTGCATTCGTCGGGGTGGAGGGTTTCGTGTTCGGGCTGCTGTTTTCCAACCGAGCCACTAGCGACACAGACTTCCGCGAGACGTTCAACTTTCGTATTTTTAATCAAACGTATCGAAAACAATTTTCGAACGTTCTTAAACATTGGATACCTCGATCGAAGTTTCAAAAATTAGGAAATTTCTATTTACTTTAGGATCTGGTTGGAAGCCTGTTCCCGCTCGAAGCATAGGCTGCGGACATGGAATTTCTTATTTGTCGCAAAATTACTAATAACAGATTCATGCAAGTGTCATGCAAGGTGTTGGCTGCACTTGAACGTCGGAGAACAGAGTAGATTGAATGACCTCGTTGGTCCTCTTGCGTTTTGGATATTGAGTTATTGTGTACCGAATAACGAAATGATTTCATATAATTACTAGCCAAAACAGCAGATCCAAGGTGTCGTAGCTTCTCCTCTGTTGTGACTTTCAACACACTATACTCAGGGTGCTACAATCCATGCATTCGAATTCGCTCCTTTCTACGTGTGAGCACACTCCTAAATACGTGATTGTAGAACTCGCTAACACTACCGTGGTACACATTTGCGCGCGCGTGCCTTCAGATTCACTTTGAGTAAATTAATTACATCGATTCAGTTTCGTTCCATTCAAACATGTTAAAACTGTCGCAATAGATGAACCTCACAGTTTCAAACGACGCTTCTTTATCAACGATGGTATCAAGTACCTCGCGAGCAGATTTAAATTCCGATCAGTTAAATTAAAACAATTTCGAGACATTACAGTAGTGCTTCCAAGTATATTCAAATCTAGATGGGATATATATCAAACAAAATTTCTAAGTAGAATCGAACCCTGTTCGTCTTGCCAATACCGATTTAACTTTATTTAATCGGTGCAAAGGACAATGTTAAGTCATAGAGGGGTTTACTGACCCAAGAGCGTACAGCCTATGCTATACACCGTTGGAAAGGTCTCGCCAAGGCGAATCGACTGATACCGTTTTTAACTTCGATATCAGATGGGATCATGTCGAAAAATGGCCTCAAAGTTCGAGATTTTGCGGTTTTGAACAAAAGAATCCGGTCGTAAAAGCCCATCCGCCCGAGGGACCTCGGGTAGGCACCTGAGGGAAAACCGAGCGGTGTAAGCGATACTCTAGCAGATTGGGACGGCAAATGTGCCCCACCACCTTCATTTCAGTGCCGTGTTGGGCCTGCGCTTGCCGCATGGGCCCCGTTCGAAATGCCCAGGGCGAAATCGCCAATGGATCAGTTGTTTTTCATGAACATAATATATTCATGATAGACGATTCGCAGGTATGAGTTGGGAATGTGCAGGTTAGTATTCAGTATTCACATCATTATGTTTCCTTCAATCAATAAAATGTCACTCCATTCACTATTGTAAGTGACGCATTAGTCTGAATACTAACCTGCACATTCCCAACTTATACCTGCGAATCGTCTATCATGAATATATTATGTTCATGAAAAACAACTGATCCATTGGCGATTTCGCCCTGGGCATTTCGAACGGGGCCCATGCGGCAAACGCAGGCCCAACACGGCACTGAAATGAAGGTGGTGGGGCACATTTGCCGTCCCAATCTGCTAGAGTATCGCTTACACCGCTCGGTTTTCCCTCAGGTGCCTACCCGAGGTCCCTCGGGCCGGATGGGCTTTTACGACCGGATTCTTTTGTTCAAAACCGCAAAATCTCGAACTTTGAGGCCATTTTTCGACATGATCCCATCTGATATCGAAGTTAAAAACGGTATCAGTCGATTCGCCTTGGCGACACCTTTCCAACGGTGTATAGCATAGGCTGTACGCTCTTGGGTCAGTAAACCCCTCTATGACTTAACATTGTCCTTTGCTGCTTGTTCAATTCAAATGTTATGTATTTCTTTATTGGCTGGTCACGTAATCGAACGATGTTACTTTTTTATTGCTTTTAGGAAGCAATTTAATGTCTTAGTAGAATGTTTACATTGTCTCAAATTAATTTTCTTTTATAACCCTCAAAATTACTATAGTAGTGAACCTTCGAAAAATTTCTTTTTTTTTCATTTTCTTATCAAATATGATTTGGAAAATACATCTGCAAACCTTATGCCTGAACACCTAAAAGTAACGAAATTATGGCCATCAATTTGAACTTTCTATCGCCTAAAATATTTTTAAATTGAAAAAAGTGGTATAATTTATTTGCAACGTTCCCCAAAAAAAGTTTTAAAAAACTCATTTCACACTAGAATAGATACGTAATACATATATAGAATAACAACGTCCATTTTAAAAAATACTAGTATTTTCTATTCAGAGATAGAAAGTAACGATCATAAAGCAAACATTATTTTTAACAGCCACATGTACAAAGATTAAAACAAAGTTATATTATATGTACGTTTTTAGTTAAAACATATGTAATAAATTCATTGCTTGAGATTTACAGGATCCCAATGAAGTACTGCTTGTAGGTTCGATTCTTTCTGATATTGAAGTACTTATAAGTACAGTATTGTCTCTCTATAGCCGCGCGTTTTCGGATTCTCTATAGACGCGAAGCTATCCCCACTACTTCGTTTGTAATCACCGCGCCGCGACATCGGGTATCGGATATCAAACAGAAAGCCGAAGAAAAGTCGACGAGCCCCATCCCCCTTGAACGCTCGAGCGTCAAATCAAAGAAAGCCGAATAGACTACTCGTCTCTCAAGTTGCGTGCGCCCGGTCCCGACACGCGCGGCTATAGAGAGACAATACTGTACTATTGGGAGATGAAATGTTGGCACACTGCCCACAAACTAAACGACGCAAGGGGCAAAGGGAATCATCCGTATGCTCCACCTAATCCCTTCCACTGTTCAGGTTCTTGGCTTAACCTTGGTTCGCAATCGACCTAACCAATAACAACTAAGAGCCTAACAAGTGGAGGGAATTACATGGATCGTGCGGACGATTTCCCTTACCCCTTGCGCCGTTTAGTTTGTAGGTAGTGTCTCATCATCTCGTCTCCCAATAGTACATTTTCGAGTCGCGCAGACACTCATACCGGAGTTCAAAACCAAGCCTCATATCAAATACGAGGAAACACTAGTTTGCACGAGTAGTGTTCAAATTAGGAGTTTTCGAATACTTTAATATTCGAATAGTTTATATATTTTCGAATATCATTATTAATCGATACTAATTAATTTATCCATATCTGGCTATTCGAACGGAATGGATACGAAGATACTCGAGCAATGCATAGAATATTAATACACGAATCATTGAGAAGTTTAAATTTGTTTACAAGCATCCCTAATTTAAATCTCATGAAGCGTATCTTGGTTAGTGAAACTCATACTGTGCATGATTTCATCTCTATTATTTGCTATCGTTTCGAGCTCAAAGATCACTGTGAAGGCACGCGCGCGATCAAATTCGAGACACGTAGAACAGGAAAATGTTGCTTTCGATGATGCTCGTCGGCTGTTGTCGCTGCATTTGATGACGTCGCTGTCGGATGGGCATGCCAAGACCATGACCGTGGACTACCTTAAGCACGCTGGTACCATGGGCCATTCCTGTTTCGCTTTCTTATGGTGCATGAGGCACGACACACCGGTGATTCGTTATAATGGCGAATGAGTAAAATTTATGGCGGCGTTTCAGTGACGAAGAACAAACAGTGAAGAAAGTACAACAGTAGTGAGACGAACGTTTAACGAGATACAGAGAATAATCAGAAATGGCAAAAAGCCGATCCAAAGAGAATCAAATTATGCGCATAGTCGTCGAACATTACGCGTTTTGCTGCTTACTTTTAAATTGGCCTTGATCGAAGAGAATCACAATAATTTTGCGTCTCATCCTTTAGAATTTATGTTTTAAACAAGTTATACTTGCCAATATTCTAGAATTCATCTAGTATTACATTGGCATTTGATTTAGTACGCAAGTACAGCAATGCTTGGATAATTGCGAGTCATTTTCGATTGAATAAGGAAACGATAGTCATCCCTACTACTGAGAGGAAACTGCCCTTGACACACCGAGAAGTAACCTGATCTGAGCACGAATATCGGTTATTTTTTAAATAAAACTTTTACCAATGTATTTGTCAGAGTTTAACAATTAAAATAAGACCAAACACGGTGTAATTTGTTTTTAACCTACGTCTAATGGAGTATAACATCGTATTAGTGAGTGCCAAAAAAACGAGTTATTGTCACTCATTAAATACGCAAATATGAGCTTAGTTATATCATGTTTTATCTTATTACAATTAGAGAAACCTCACAAGTAAAGGTCCCGTTAACAAAAAATAAAAAATAAATTTTCACATTTTGTTACTCTTATTTATTATTATTAGTATATTTATGAATTATTAGTTTGTGCCTTTCTGGGAACTGAAAATTAACCATGCTTTTTCGCAGCTATCCAAGATTTGTTGTATTTACAAAATTTCTATTATTGAAATAATTTCTACGCACTTAGCGTATTAAGAGAAATAGAATAGTCTCAGTAAAAACATCGCGTATCAAACTCTTACTAAATGTCACGCTCGAGGTGACAAATCGCGCGAAAAATACCCGATAGTCGACTTCTATGCACCAAAACAACGATTTGTTATTGTAGCGATTTTTTATTGTATTTCTCTGCGTCTCAATTATCCTTCGTCACTTCACGATTTTTCTCGAAAAGGTTCATCGCCACCAGTGCAAAACGTGCACGGTGGGAAAGCTGTAAATGTGTGACGTAATACCAACTACAACACATTTAACTCCTAAATCTTGCAATGATCGAACAACGTTGCAAATAGTATGTATACCTACGTTACGTATTTTTTGTGATCTATCTTTGCTTAGAAACATGGCGAACCTGGTATCGAACACAGATAACAACAAGCAAGTAAGAACTTTAATGAAAAACATTCCAAGAGATGAGCACGATGTTAATTCTATTTTCTTGTTTCTAGGTATCGAGAGCATTTTCATTCAGCGACGCTAAATTCTAAATGATTATCAAAATGCTTATGAAAAATAGAAAACGATGCTTAAACTTTCCGATAATGCATGACGGTGGAAAGAGAAGATGCATTGAATATAAGAGAAGTAATACGAAAAGAATTAAACAATATTGGTTAAAGAAATCACAGTCATGCAGTCAAATTCCTCCAAAAAAAATAAACAAAAATAAATTTCAAATTTGCATCTAAATTTTACCATTTAAAGCGTAACTTTCTGACAGTGAAAGATCGACAGCTTTCCCCCGGTTGACTAATACGCGACTTTCAATTTAAAGAAACTGCCTGATTCACGGAATTCCTTCGATCCGATAAGAGATACTTCAAATAGTTCAAAATGCTTGGTAAACGTCGTGCAAGATAGATCATAGATCGAGAATTTCATACCTTGAATGCACATTCGCTGGGATAAACTGAAATTCTCTCTTAGTGCACGTATCACAAACACGTTGCAGCGATGCGAACAGGTGTACTCTCTCTCTCGAGGAGCCATCAACCAAAAATAAGAGCTCGCGATAAAATTGTGAGAGTGATAGAGTGTCGAATGATTTGTCTACACAAAACACGCTCGAGATCTCTCGCTACTGGTCTCTATCTCTATGCCGAAGAAAAGGATCGGGATGAGCGATTACAGAGTGCAATAATCTCCAGAAAGAGAAGAAGAGAAACGTCGAAAACGTCTTGGTCTGTTCGGTGATCGATTCGTTATCCAACGCGTGACCTGATCGCGAACCGTTGTCCTCCATGTTTGTTGATCGACGAATCGAACGATTCTCTTCCCTTCCGTGAAACACGTATATCTTACCTCTCGTTTCGCATCATCGTTGGAAATAAATAAAGAGTTCGGTTATCCGAGGTAGTACATGACTGTACAGAATCGCTCGTCCCGACGTGGTGTTCGTGACGCCGACTAGAACTAATGGTCTACGAGGATATGAACCGGAACCACCACGGGTGAATCGAGTAAAATCAGTGTTATACGACGTGACCATTGCAACGTTCTACTAAGCAAGCTGGGACCCCTAAGATGACCGAGCGTAGTACAAGGATGGTCGACAGGATCAGCAGGAGTACGGGATTCGAACACGAGGTCGGGGAGACACGATTGCACATATCCTCCTCACAGAAGCACATGTGACCAGTGCCGGTACTTTCCATCATGCACACGTGGTCCACCATGAATAAGTTTATCTGTAGCTGCGAAGTGCAAGTCCGCCTCACGCTCTCGTACACTGCGAACAAACAATTACCATTATAAGCGAGAATACTAAAGCCCATCTGCACTATAAAGGATGGTGAAAAGGATGGGATAAAACTATACTACGTGTTCCTCAAATACAGTTGGTAACACAAAAATATTCAAACACCGATATAATCTTACTCCTAGACTTAAAAATAATAATTAGCCAAAAATTTAGTATACTCAATTCAAAGTTTGCTCTAACAAGGAACCATCGCGAACGGTCCGGCTTCGATTTTGATGAAACTTTGTACACTTATAAAGCAGCCAAAAATAATCGACACGTATTCTTTTCTAGCTGCGGTAACTTGAGTTTAAGGGGTGAAACCACCCCTTGAAGTTTTGGCTCGAAACGGCTATCTCGAAAACGGAAAGACATACAAAAAAATTGTTAATGGGCGAGGTTGATGGTTTCTTATGTACAATAATATGGTGTTAAAAAATTTAAAAAAATACAATTTGTTTATAACGAAAAAAAATTTATTAACTTAATTTTTCATTTTATTGAAATTTTCATAATGACAAAAAATGACGAGCATTTTATTCCAAATCCATTGGTATGCGATTTTTTAAAATTGCCTCCTACAGTTTTGTAGATTTTGATGATTTACATCTTGCGCGCACATCCATTATGGTAGTAGCCGTTCTAACTTTGATTTTAATGAAGCACTGTAGGCTTGCACTACTTCTAGAGGACAAAATCGGGAAAAATACAAGAATACCAATTTGTTGATGGAGGCTTCGTTAAGAAATTATTAACGTTTAAAGTTCCGCCCGTACTGAATTTTTTTCTCCGAAATGCCCAAGAATTCGGGGGAATGTGTAATGACCAAAAATGATTGTAATCGACCCCTGCAACCGAAAATAATTTTTTCAGAATGGTTTGAAATTTTTTAATTTTGTTGAAAAATTTCACACATTCTCGAATTTTTTTCTCAAAAGTGCGTAGGATTTCGGGGGCATATATATTGACCAAAAATGATTGAAATTGACTCCCGCAACTGAAAATAATTTTTTTAGAACGATTTGAAATTTTTTTTTTACGCTGAAAAATTTAGGCACCTGTCGATTTTTCTTAAAAATTCGTTTTTCATTTTTAATAATTTTGTTTGACGCCCTACAAAAAAGTTGGCCAATACTTTTTTGTAGGTACCTATGAGCTCTACTTCAGAAAAAAGTTTCATTGAAATATATTCACTATTGTAGGAATTATGGCTGTTTGAAGATTGGACCATTTTTATGGGGTTTTTCTCATTTTGCAGGGTCAAGGATCAACTTGTTGCATATTTTTGCGATTTCTACGTATTCTTGATTAAAATACGCGTCGTTTGCATTTTTGAAAATTAAAATCCTTCAATCCGTTCAGAAGTTATGACATTTTAAAGATCCGCATGAAATTTTCGGACAACATTTCTGGCCATAAATTACATTTTCGATTAGGAATTTTTTTCTCGAAAGTGCGTAGGATTTCGTGGGTATATGTATTGACCAAAAATGATTGTAATTGGCCCCCGCAACCGAAAATAATTTTTTCCTGGAGGATTTGAAATTTTTTAATTTAATTTTTTAATAATTTCTTAACGAAGCCTCCATCAACAAATTGGTATTCTTGTATTTTTCCCGATTTTGTCCTCTAGAAGTAGTGCAAGCCTACAGTGCTTCATTAAAATCAAAGTTAGAACGGCTACTACCATAATGGATGTGCGCGCAAGATGTAAATCATCAAAATCTACAAAACTGTAGGAGGCAATTTTAAAAAATCGCATACCAATGGATTTGGAATAAAATGCTCGTCATTTTTTGTCATTATGAAAATTTCAATAAAATGAAAAATTAAGTTAATAAATTTTTTTTCGTTATAAACAAATTGTATTTTTTTAAATTTTTTAACACCATATTATTGTACATAAGAAACCATCAACCTCGCCCATTAACAATTTTTTTGTATGTCTTTCCGTTTTCGAGATAGCCGTTTCGAGCCAAAACTTCAAGGGGTGGTTTCACCCCTTAAACTCAAGTTACCGCAGCTAAAAAAGAATACGTGTCGATTATTTTTGGCTGCTTTATAAGTGTACAAAGTTTCATCAAAATCGAAGCCGGACCGTTCGCGATGGTTCCTTGTAAGCCATATTAGACTGACCAAACTATATCAAATTATGTTTAAATATACAAGGTGTTCGGCCACCCCTGGGAAAAATTTTAATTGGAGATTCTAGAGGCTAAAATAACGTTTAAAATTCCGCCTGTAGAACAGCTGCGTGCATGCGATAGTGACTATTGTAAGTACTCTACTTAATCGACAGTTTTGTGAGTGAAAACCACTATCACGCGTACGCAGCTGTTCGCAGATTGCCGTTCTACAGGCGAAATTTCAAACGTTAATAACTTTTTAATGAAGCCTCAATCAACACATTGGTATCCTTGATTTTCGTCTTATTTTGGCCTCTAGAATATCTCATTAAAATTTTTTAGAGGGATAGCCGAACACCCTGTACGTATTGAGACCCAACACAGTCATAGAAGGGTTGTAGCGACCGTCACATTTTTAGACTCGGCGATTAAGAATTTTTGCGACCAGAACCGCCCCCATAAAATTCGACCACCTCAACATCACGTGCAAATCACCTCAATGACCATTACCTGCTATTTTGGGCGATCAACATTTCCCAAAATGTTTAAACAACCAAACCCCACCATAAAACCATCAGTGTATTATTTTGATTAAAGTTTAAATAGAGTTAAAGAACTGTGAAACTGTGAAACGTATAGTGTCCATTTGGTTTTAATCATAAAATATGCTAGGAAAGTTTGTATGGAAATCTGAGTCATTTCGTATATTTATGATTTACAAATACTATTACTATGTCATGTACTTGAAATTGTAAATAAATATATAGGACGGCGGAAACGACAAATATCAAACAAATATACTTGGTTCAATGATACAGATGGTCCAAAGAGGTTAGGACCAAACTTCTACTACCTACAATCGGTCACGAAAATGTACGAACACCAATATAAACTTTATAATTTAAATACACACGCAATAAATAAAGACAAATATTTTAGGTTATGTTCAGTATAATTCGTAAATAATAAATATGCAAAAACTTTTTTTTATTATGCACAGTTGTTTAAATAATGAGGAAAACGGGAAGTACAACCCATCTCTATCACAAAAGTGCTCGAGAATCTGGTATACCTGCGTAAGGAATTTTGATGAATGAAAGAGACAAAAAAAGAAAAATGTTCGTAGGTTTAATACTGAAAAATTAGCTATATAAAGAACACTGACAATCGAATGTAAGATATTCGTATTTCGAATTCGTAAAAAATAGGTCGTAAGAGTAAAAATATATGGCTATAACTGGGGAACAAGTTCAAATAGGGTGCATTTATATAAACAATTTTCATATTTTTATACCCGCAATTCGACGCTTACCTGGGCACCAAGTATTGCGATAAACCATAAGCTGCGAAAGTTCATACGTGCAACTTATGCAAGACCATATGACATTTATGCACGCAAAGTATGCATACAAATTGAAGCATTTGCTATAGGTCACCTGCATAACTCTATTTTTAAAGAATATTTATGTTACCAGTTGTTTGATTTCATGGGGTACGTAGTTGTTACGTTTCTTTGGTTTTAGATGGAAACGCCAAAGACATTTTAAAGTTATTAATTTTGTCTTAAATAGAACAATATATTTTCTTACTTACTTTTTAATAGAGGCTTGTAGGACAAATAGAATAACTTAAAATTTAAGATCCTACAGAACCACTAAAAGGGTACATTCGAGAACTAATATTTTGATTCAAAGAACAGTATAAAAATTTGCATATTTATAGTACATTTCAAGTTCTAATTTTAGTAGTCAAAATGGTAACCGTGAACCGCGATATGTATATTGAAATGGGTTTTATTTTAAGCGTTTCCTATACCATTTTCCATATTTTCTGTAATTGTTATTTCTACAATAGTATAGTATATAGTAATAGTACCAAACTTTCTTCTATGTTATATTAATCAGTGAAATATAGATACAACCAACAATCAAAAATAATTAAAAGAAAAATCAAATTAATAGTTGATTTTAAATATGTAGAAAATCAAATTGTAATAGAAAGAACGATAATAATAAAAAAAACACACACTAATAAGCTCACGTTCTATTATTTTGTATATTCCAAAAGCTACAAAATGGTACTCACGTGACTTTGCGTTGCGAACCATTTTCACGCAGCAACCATTGCAGGCTATCAATGGCGGCTGATCCCTGGGAAGCGCTGTGTAGTTGAAAGGATCTTTACACCTAAGATCCGTCCACGAATCGCATTCGTAGCAGTAAACGGAGCGAGCTGCAAAATACGATCACGATGAAGGGAAGCGCTCGTTCCATTTCGAGGGATAAAAGAATGATGGAAAAATTGCGAAACGTTTATATGCACTTCGACGCCGTACTCTTACGTTCAATGAAAATACAAAAATCCTCAACGATCACATATTTAGCAAAAAATTGAAAATAAAAATTGTGATGCAAAAACGTAGAAAAAAAATTGTAAACAATAAAAAAAAGTTGAATGTCGAGCAAGGTGTAAAAGTTACTGCATCGGTCAAGCTGATGCGACGGAACCGCTGGAAATAATAAAAAAAATGGAAAAGCAGTTCTCTCGCGAAGTTAAGAAATAAACTGAGTTGAATCTGTAGATGCAAGTCCTGCGGAATAACGTTGACAACAAGGACACTGAAGAGAAACTGGCTTGATCACTCACTCTGGCACTCCGCGCGACAGACGGTGGCAACCGCGAGTACAATTGCCGCTGAAACGAAACATCAGTTACTGTTTTAGACGATAATAATCATGACGGGCGGATCTGCTGATGGCTACGAAACGATAATTATGAAACAACAAAAATGGGTGCACATTGCTAGGACTACCACTATTGTTCCTACTGCTACTGCCTTCGTTATGCCAACGATTCTATTTATCGTTTAAGTTACATCTAGCTATCGTCGCGACTCAAAACATTGGGATAACTGCGTATCCAAATATTTTATCGATCCATGATCGTCCGGCTAGATTTGATTAACAAATACGAAGATAATTCGATCAATGATTTTTTTTTCTTTTTAGGTGCTTATTTTTTATTATTTTTGTTTTCTACCTACCTGGAGGCGTTCGTTTGGTTAAACCTTGTCTCCAATTACGAACTCTGTCATTCTATTTTATCGTTAAATCGCAGATTTTATGCATTTAGAATAATATGGGGAACGTACGAATGTATGCAGAATATATTTTTCAAATTCATATAGTAAATATCGTAATGAACATATTTTATCTAAATTATATTATGAAAAGGTAGAGTATGAAGTACAAACAATATCTATGTTTTTCTTTTATAGAAATATTCATTTCCGGAGTCTCGCTGTGACCGCGGAACCGATCGGACGTGTTATTGTTTAGCTCGTACCGTCACGTGTGCCGTAGTTTTAGTGTTAGTGAGTGCCGTCTCGGAAACAAAGTAGCGGTGATAAAATCACCACTACAGAAACCTCTGGCATAGGTATTCGTACGCCGTACGTATCACCATGTCACAGACAGTAAACCGATACAGTGACAAATCCCAATCGGTGTATCCTTTCCAAACTAACGAGAACCAAAATATTCAATCGGAAAATAACCAAATAACCCAAACATTCAATATGACCGAAACCAAAATCTCATTTGCCAACATTACAAAACATGAATACACACCAACCCAAGATCAAGCTATTATTCTGCAATCAGTTAACATAACAGGACCCAAAGCTATAAAATATCTATCAAGGATCTCCAATGGAAGAATCTGTATGTACCTGGATAGCAAAGAAACGGTTACAAACTTAACCTCTAAACACAAAACAATTATAATAAATAACGTAAATATAGAAATCCGCCCAATGGTACTACCGGCCATTAGAATCATACTATCAAATATCGCACCTATAATTCCCAACACAGCTATCGAAAACGTTTTCAGAACAAACAATATCAAATTATACTAAAAAATAACCCCACTAAAAGCAGGAATCGTCGATCCGGACCTGTCGCATATTTTAAGCTTCAGGAGACAAGTCTACGTAGATCCAGAAGATGCAAAACAAATCCCGGGCTCCTTTCTTATTATGTTAGAAAATAACACCTACAGAATATTCGCTACCACGGAAAAACAGACATGCTTCAGGTGCAACCAAGAAGGACATATTGCCACGCAATGCCCTAACAACCAAAATCCAAACGGAACCAGCTCACCAAAAGATGCCAACCTTCAACCCCTTCCATCGCCCCACATCGAAGATCGGCCTAAAGAAACGGAAATGGAAATAGAAATACCAAATACACCTGAACAGATGGAACCAATGTCGCTAGACGACTCTAACACAACAGAACCAACAGCAAGAGCATTAGATGACACGATTGCAGATAAAATAAGTAGCAAAAGACCGTTATCCACAACTTCAGAAGAAAGTAACACAAAACCAATAAAACTAAGCGACCTTGATTTCAAGTCACCAGGCGCAATACCCAAAAAACCGCATAAGAACCCTGGACCAGTCTCTAAGAAAACAAAACGGCCCCCATCACCCGCCTTTTCGCTAGACAAAATCGACGATATGCTGGAACCAGCCAAAAACTACATTGAAGACCAAGGGAACAACCACGTGCTAAGTTATATACAATTAAAAAGCTTCCTAGAAAACTCAATCACAGCCCCAAACCCTTTAGAAATTTCAAGAACATACACAACTAACACTCTCGCCTTAGCTGGAATGATTCTAAAAATCCACCACTTGCTTAATGAACGTAGTATGAAAAACAGACTACACAGACTGCATAAAAAAATAATCCAGAACTCCTCAACAAAAACAGCCATCAATTGGGCATCAGAAGTAGAGAGTGACTCCTCTTAAGCACAATGAAACATATTATTCAATGGAATATAAATAGCTTTTACACGCAATACGAACAACTACAGCTCCTTCTTAACCAACACAACCCATCCATCATTTGCCAACAAGAGACAAACCTCAAGAAACACCACCTCCCAAGACTCAAAGCGTTCGTCATCTTCAACAAAAATAGAGACGGCGATAATCACGCGAGTGGGGGAGTACTCATCGCAGTATCTGAAAAATTCAATGCCGTTGAAATTCCGCTAAACACAAACTTAGAAGCAATCGCAATCACAGTGCTGCTCCCAAGCAAGATACACATATGCAACATCTACCTCCCAAATAGCCATACTCTAACCCCAACGGACTTAGAAATGCTTACAAACCAACTTCCAACACCTTTCATACTAATGGGCGACTTTAATAGTCACCATTATATTTGGGGATCACACAAGATAGACGGCCGCGGGAAAATTATTGAGAGTCTACTAGAAGACCCCATCACTCTGCTAAACTCAGGCAGTCCAACACATTTTACAGTAAGTACGGGGAAAACGAGCGCGATCGATTTAACACTCTGTAGTAGTAAATTGACGCAATCCCTAGAATGGGAATCCTTATTAGACCTCCATAACAGCGATCATTTTCCCATAAAAGTTACATACCTAGATTCTACCCCGCAACTGCAAAACAACCCCACTGTCAAATGGAGCATTAAAAAAATAGACTGGGGTATATACAAAACAATAATCATGAATACCCTTCAAAAAGCCCCAAAAAGCGTAATCGATCCTAACAACATCAACCAAGAAATCGAATTACTGGAAAAAACTATTAAAAAGGCAGCGTAAGAATCCTCTGGTCCAGTTAAACCAAAAAGCACAAAAAAAAGAAATACTCCTTGGTGGAACGAAAATTGTCACGCAGCCATGAAAGAAAGCCATAGGGCCTTTAACAAAGCAAAGAGACAACCAACAACCGAAAACTTAGTCAACTTCAAAACACTTCGAGCAAAATTTCGCAAGGTAATAAAAGAAAGCAAAAGAAATTCTTGGCAATCATATACAGGGTGTTCGGCCACCTCTAGCAAAAATTTTAATGAGCGATAGTAGAGGCCAAAATAAGACGAAAATCAAGTATACTAATTTGTTGATGGACGCTTCGTTACAAAGTTATTAACATTTAAAGTTCCGCCTGAATCATGGCAACCATCGAGCATATGCGTAAGCGTGGGAAGTCAGGAGACGATGTATTACAGGAACCGAGCTTACCGACTTATCGATCGCCTTTCGTGTCTGCGTCAACTCTCAGGACGGCGAACGTGGTACGTTGAATGAAATCAGACAGTCCCTCGTTTTTGCGTCAACTCCCAGGAAGGTAAACGTATATCGTCGAATAGGATTCAACCTGTCTTATGAACATCCAGAGGGGCATATCAATACTCGCCCGACAAGATGTTCACAGAGAGAGGGTGAATGCCTCTTTTAACACACACATTTTTTTCTGTATAAAAATCACCCACACGCGAGCATACACGCATCGCGATTGTCCCGTCCGCGAGTGTCCACGTGTATGTGCACCGCGATTGTCCCGACCGCGAGTGTCCACAAAGAAATACTGTTGCTCACGAACCATCATACTGTTTTTCCAAAAAAAAAACAACACGCGAGCATACACGCATCGCGATTGTCCCGTCCGCGAGTGTCCACGTGTATGTGCACCGCGATTGTCCCGACCGCGAGTGTCCACAAAGAAATACTGTTGCTCACGAACCATCATACTGTTTTTCCAAAAAAAAAACAACACGCGAGCATACGCGCACCGCGATTGTCCCGTCCGCGAGTGTCCACGTGTACGCGCACCGCGATTGTCCCGTCCGCGAGTGTCCACATACATAGAGAGAACTGCCTCACAAAAGATGTTCCACGTGGCCACCATTCTCTTGTAGGCACAGCTGCATTCTTCTCTGGAAATTTCGTCGAATATTTTCTAAATGAGCCCCTTCTCGTGACTCAATAATACCAGCTGAAAACGTAATCCGGCAATTGAGTTCGTCGAGCGTGTTTACTGGTGTTGAGTAAACTAAATCCTTTATGTGGCCCCAGTAGAAAAAATCAAAGGGGTTCAAATCAGGTGAACGAGCAAGCCACAGCTGAGGTCCTCCTCGTCCAATCCACTTGTTTTTAAAGTACGCGTTTAAATGCCCGCGTACTGCCAGTGTGGAATGGGGCGATGCACCGTCGTGCATGTACCACATGTTTCTGCGTACATGTAGTGGTACATCCTCCAGAAGGCTTGGCAACTGCGTTTCCAAAAATTCCAGGTACAATTGTCCTGTTAATCGTTGTGGCAAGACCACAGGACCAATAATTTTACTGCCAAGTATGCCTGCCCAAATATTGACAGAAAACTGGCGTTGTGTATTTATTGCGTAAACCGCGTGTGGGTTTTCTTCTGCCCAAATATGGGCATTGTGTGTGTTTATGTTGCATTTTTTCTCGTTCCGCGCCGCGCACTACACAACACAAACCGCGTACCACACACTACACTGCACTACACAACACTACACAACACAACTTAATATAAACCGCGGATTTCGATTCCACGCACTATCGCGCAATAAAAAAGTAAAACTGGAAAAAAATTTATAATTAGTAAATCTGATTAATGACTGAATATTAATTCAGATTGTAGAGTTCGAAAGCTATTGAATGTCCGCATTCGTTGGCGACTGCCTTCGAAATGAGAAAAGACAAACGATGAGGAGTGGCGAGAAAAGCAGACACATTATTAAAGTGCCGAACGCGCGGCCTACGAAGCATACATTGTAAAGCCCCGACATTTTTACTTTCCGACTTATGTAGGCATAAGTATGTAGCAACGATTT